GTCTATACCGGATTCTCTCTATAACGGATAAATTTTCTGGGCCCAATGATCCGTTATAGACAGTGTGGACTGTACTAATAATATTAGGTAGACCAACTGTTGGGTTATGATTAATTTGTTCCTGTCGTTCAAATTGCTCTTCTTTATTAAGTTGTAACTGGATTTGTGTATCTAGTTCAAATAATGTTGTAGAGCATTTGACTGATTGTTTAATTAATGAATTGTAACTTTCTACACGCTGAGTTGACTGGATCCCAGCATTAAATGATCGATGAGTGAAACATAATGCCCAACTTGTTACATCTGTTCCAAGAACACATTCAAGATATTTTTGTGCTGCTGGATAATTAATTAAAAGGTCATGCCATCGTTTTTGAAACTCATTTTCAGAAAAACTATTTCTGCAATTATTCCACTCTTTTATGAAATCACCATATTTATTATTAAGTTTTCCTTTCAAATTTTTTTCGATATTCTTACGTATATGCCAAATACAATGATTATGTTTTGTTGTTGGAAGTGTTTCATGGATAGCAGCAACCATACCAGCATCTGCATCAGTAAATATTACACATGGTGCAAGGCCATTGGTAGCACACAATAAACATTCAAGAATCCATTGATAGGTCTCTTTGGTTTCATCTGATACAACAGCTGTTGCTGCCATCCGAGAACGTGCATGATTATCTACAACAATTGTAAGTGAAAGATACATTTGATATTTGTTGGTTTTTGCTGTATTATCATTAATTGCAACATCATGAAATCGTTGCCATAAATCAATTTGTGATGGTCTCATCCAAAACAAACCAGTAAGATGATTGTCTTCTCCATCTAATCTTGCCTCAACAAACCAACCATGCTCTTCACGTTGCAACTGTATTAGCTTGTCATAAGTTTGAGCAGCATCAGTTTTTATCATCTTCAGATTATTTCGGAAACAACATATTGCATTATACACACTTTTTGGATGAACTGTTGCATTTGGAAAACGTTTTTGAAGCCCACGTATGATTGGACCTGCTCCACAACCAATACTTACAAGGAATTCAATCTCCTCAAGCATTTCTGGGGTAAAACGAGAAAATTTTGATGCTATGTTTTGTATATCTTTAATCAATTCATGATTATGTTCCTTGGATATTGAAGTAATACGTATGATACCATCAGAAAGATAAAAATTGGCTTTCCATGGGCAATTGGCTTTTGCACTTTTAGTTTCATGATTATTTTCAATATCAGCTTTTTTCTTAGGATTGTATTGGTGTGAGTTCCTACATTCAAATGTACGACGTTTAATATTGCCATGTTTATCTCTTTCAAGGCGACGCTTTACAACTTCAAATCCAAATTTCATTGCATGAGCATCAACTTGTTTTTCAACTAAGTCCCAATCCTCAAATTCATCTCCCATTTCAAGCCCAAATTCATTATTTTCATTGAACTCATCAGACTTATCGGATTCTGCATTTTCATTGTCTGTATCTAATATTGTGCTTGTACTTTCATCACTGAATTCTTCTTGTAAAGAATTAACATCTTCAATCTCCTCTTCTTCTGAAGAATATACATCATAAAACAAACGTTTATACATATTTTTGTTTAAAAATTATTTTATGATTTGATGTTTAAAAAAAACTAATTTGTGGGAAGGTTATTTTTAATCGCGTTTGATGTATGCGCGTGATATAATTCAATTTTGAAAATATAATATTTATATATTTATACTTAAATAAAAAAAAAAAATATTTATATATTTTAATTAATTTAATATATAATATAAGTAACGTAATAAGTGATGTAATGATAGTGGCAATCCAAGTATTTTTAAAATCCATTATGTAAACCCCCATTCTAGTGATGATAATTGTAACGACAGTAATAATAACAATTATATATAAAAAAAAAAAATCAAAAAAAAAAAAAAAAAAATTTAAAAAAAAAAAAAATTTAAGAAAAAAAAATTTAAGAAAAAAAAAAAAATTTAAGAAACAAAAAAAAAATTTTTTTGATAGTGTAGCATTACGATTGTGGCTTTTTCAATTTTTTTTTGGGAATAAGACACATTTTTACTTGTAAAACATTTTTATTTATATGCGGTGAAACTTCAGTATATACTATTTGATATGAAGATTGTTACTTAAATTATTTTCAATGGTC